GGGGGCTTGGGGACGGCGAAGCGCTGGGGCTGGGGCTTGTCGAGGAGTAGGGCCACGGGTTGGTGGAGCACTCCGTGAAGGGCGACGCAGTGAGGCTCATGCTCTGCGTTGGGGGTGGGATGGTGGTGGCAGCGGCGCGCTGAGGCATGCTGGCGGTGCTAGTTGCACGCGCCTGCGTGCACGGCGTCGTCGCATAGGCGATCATGGGCGAGTGCGATTAAGGTGCGCCCTGCGTGCAGCAAGGAATGGCCAGAAGCCTTACCTTGAGGGTGGTGCGCATCCCCATGGTGGTCTGCTGGGTGCAGCCCTTGTTGAAGTTGGTCGAGGTGTACTCGATGTTCCAGACAGGCTTGCCGGCCGCCTTGCTGGGGGCGTACATCCCGCACTCGCTGTACTGGTTGCACTGCCTGCGATGTGTGGATGAGAGCGCGGGTTGGTGTGCGCGCATGCATTTTGTACGTGTGTGCTGCGGGGTGAAAATGTTGAGTGAGCGTGCGTGCTTGAAGTTGTGCAAACAAGCAAGCCCAAACAAGCAGGCCCGTGAGCTGCTGATCACCACACACAACGTTTTGAGAATTGAGATTTTACGGTCCCCTATGCCATGCACAGAAGAGGGGAGCAAGAAAAACACCAGCAGTATGTTGTATTCTTGCCAGCAACGCCACCGTGTGCCACTCACTCATTCACAAAGAAGTCGAAGTAGGGTGTCAGCTGGGTCAGCTGGTTGAGATCGTTCTTGAGACCAATGGCCATGCCCTGCGCATGCGCCTCGTTGGCCAGGAACGTGTTGTAGGACAGCTGGTCGGCGGCGGTGAGGCCCACGCCGTTGGCGTTTGTGTAGCCATCCACGTTGTCGGGGTCGACGGCAACGAATCCCTTGGACTTGCACATGGCGATGCGCTGCGAGCAAAGTTGATAGCAATTCCATGAGATGAGCGGGGCGAGGTGCAGAGGCCCTGGCTATCAGCCAGCGCCCACCACTCCAGGAAGGAAAGGGGCGGGGTGCTGCCCAGTGTCATGGGCTTCAGCGTCGACGTCAGGTGCCTCACTGTCGTCAGCAGTCAGAACACATAACGAAGCACTCATTGCACATTTAGTCACTGGGCGGCCTCACCTGCTGCATTATCTTCCTGACGTTGGAGGAGCGGACGTCGAGCCACCACTCTCCCGGCCAGCCGTCCATGGCCGCGCCCTTGTCGCTGGCCAGGAACTGGGACGCGTCGGGGCGCCAGTTCTCGAACGAGCCGGCGCTGCGGTGCGGGGCGTCAGATAAGGTGACGGTGGGGGTGGTGGGGGGGGGGGTCATGTCGGCAGTCTGTCCAAGGGGGGGGGGCTGGACTGAACCGGCCTGACTGGGCCTGAATCGGTCAGACATTTGGCCGATCGGCGACAGCGTTTCGCTGCTGGGCCGGCGTGGTGGCTGCCCTGCACGTGGGACGCTGCTTTGCATTATTGTACATACAGGTGGCCTGCAGCTACACGCACACGCACCTAAAGTAGCAGACTGGGTAGGCCCCCTGGCTGACCAGCCACGACACAGTGGACGCGGGCGTGTCCCACCCGTCAAGCGCATACACCTGCGTCAAGAGAGTGGCAAGAGTGTAGTGCGGCAGCATGGTCTGATTCACATTAAGCTGAATGAGATAGTCAGTGCACGGGAGCTAGCATGGTCGGCCAGCAGGTCTGACGGGGGCAGTCCGAGGGCCGCATGTGTGGTCGGCGCCGCCACCTGTGTTTGCGCACCTTGACGCCCGGGATAAAGTGAGTGGGAACAACGAACAGCTCTCCAAGCTGGTAGTTGTAGCGATCGGCCAGCTGGGGCTGCCAGCGGGTCTGGGCTGCTGCCAGGGACAGGCCCAAAAGCGCGAGGGCTAGCGCCGCCTTCATGCTTAATAGCTGATTATTGGTCATACGTACAGATCTCAGTGATAACGAAGGCAGCGAGCTCTTGCTGCGCCGCTCGTGATAGCGTCTGCGTTCTACCGTCGGTGATCGATGGTCTGCCTGGGGATTCTTGTCAAAGTGGATGACAATACGAATGAATAATGAACCCGTAACAATCATAATCTTGATTTTAGTGCATTCACGATGCTTTGCACGTCTTGTTTCCTAATCCAGCGTTGCCGTTTTGCAGGCTTGAACGCTGTTAGCCTGTTCCGGCACGTGCTCCGACCCGCACCAGGAGGAATGCCGCGTTAATAGTTTAACTGTAGGAGATGTTGCAGGTCGCCACAAATTGCGTGCCGCCTGCAGGTCAACGCCCAAGTCAACCGCATGCGCCCGCACAGTCCAGGGGCCCATGTGCTGCACGAGTCACTCTTCCATCACATGTGTGGTTGCTGACTGTCTCACAGCTCCAGGAGAGCGTCCTATGATGAACTCCAGTGTACATTTGCTATCAGACAATGACCCCTTTGCTCCCTGCTAGCTGGCCCTGCTCTGCAAATGCTTTTTTCCCTTGCGCTTGTACAGTAGAGTCACTGGATGCATGAAGCATGATAAAGCCACATTTTGACCCACTGTGTCACCTAGCTCATCATTACCATGACCACATGGTCAGGGACATGGTTGGCACACCTGCAGTGTGTGTGTGTGTGTGTGTGTGTGTGTGTGTGTGTGTGTGTGTGTGTGTGTGTGTGTGTGTGTGTGTGTGTGTG